CACGGCCTGTGACGGCGCCGATGCTGATCATGCCGACGACGATGACGGCGTCTTCGCGTCGGTGATGAAAGAGGTTTTGGAAAGAGTTCGACATGCGCGCGCGGCCGACGCGCGAGATGGGCCCGCATTGTATTTTTGACACGGAGCGTGCCCCCCCCAGCACGCGCGCAAGGGCGTTTGAATGATGCCGGCATGTCGCGCGAAAGAGGCCCGCTTGGCAGCATTTAGTGCACATGCTGCAGCACCGATGCTGTTCTGGAGCAGAAGCGCGAACGCAGTTTTTTCGAGCACCTGATGTTGCAAACCATATATGTGTATTTTCCAAAAATTGTTTTCGGGACACTCGATTTTCAAATCCTTACGACACCAACGGTTTTTGAACGATTACAGCATGCTCGCGCGACGACGCGCGCGTGCGCATTTCATCCCGTTTTGTAAGAAAAACGGGTCTTGCGACAGCACGCGAAGAAGGGCGTTGAACGATTTCGACACGCGTTGGCGACAAACCCATGTTGTAGCATATTATGAACATGTTGGGCCCCTGGTTTTCTTAAGAATTCGCAGAAGCGCGATTGCAAATTTTGATTCTTAGGCTTACGCCACACCGCCGACCCCTTGTTTATGCCAATCTGGGGGTAGTAGAAGCTGCGAAGGGGAGAAAAAAGCCAGTGATATTTGTTTGGTGTCTGTTCGCCGCCACCGCCAGAGGGTCTCGGGCAGTTCCGCGGGGGGGTCCGAGCGCACGGCGACACCGCGGGCGGTCGTGGTCTCATCTGGGGCCATCTGAGAGGCATAATGGAGCCAGGTTGGGCTCGGGAATGTCTTCGAGCCGTTTCGGTAGCGGTCGGGAGCTTGTTTTGGGGACTGCCCAGGAGTCATGATGGGTCAACTTGGCCATGTGCGAGGCCACGGCGCGTGCAAAGGGTGTGCCGGCATGGGGCATACTTGCATGCGACGGTTCCCACTGGGCCCCACGGTGGACGTATTCTGGAGCCACGACACGATCGACGTGTGTGTGCGCGTGGGGTTGGAGGTTTACGTGACCGCGGGTACTGGGGCTATGGTTGGAGCGCGCCGTGGAGCCACGAAATGTATGAGGGACGTGCCCAATGTTGGCGGCGTTCTCCGGGAACCCTGCAGCGGGTGACAGGCTCTGTCGGGAATGCGCGGAGGCGCGAGAGGACGAGGTGCGGCGGGGCAAGGCGGAGGCAGCGACTCGCACGCGGACAGCCGGGGCGGACGCGAAGCCGCTGACGTGCGCGGCGTGCGGAGGAGCGTTCTCGGACACGAAACATTTGAAGCGGGGACAAGTGGAAAATCATCGAAAGGCGAAAGGAACCAAAGTGGTGCGCAGAGGCTGCGAGAAACTCGGGTTCACAGCGCGCAGTTGCGTGGGATATCAGTGCAGCGGCGCGTGCAAGAGAAAACTGCCGAAGGCGGCGTTCCCTGACCCTCCCAATGTCGCGCGCGACGCAAAGAAAGGTACCCTGAAGTGCAAGGCGTGCAAACGATGACCAATCGGGCGGGGAGAGAAAGATGGGGGGTGAGGCGGAGGATGGGAGGGAGAATAATCGAGGAGGAGGAGGGGGCGGAGGAAGAGGTTGAGGAGGATGCGGATGAGGTGGGGGAGGAAGACGAGGAGGGAGACGAGGAGGGAGACGAGGAGGATGTGGAGGAGGATGAGGGATGAGGTGGAGTATGGGATAGAGGCTTCTTGCATGTGTATCGGGATCTCGCGGCACGCCTCTCGGTGGCCTATGGCAGGCAGTTTGGAACCACTTGGGGGCCCAGGTGGAGGAAAACGAGGAGGAGGAGAAGGGGGACACGGAGAAACGGCTCTGGGTTATGGGTTATGGGTGAGAGGCTTCTTGTATGTGTATCGGGATCTCGCGGATCGCTTCTCGGGGGCCTCTGGGGTGCTTTTTGGGGGTTCCTTGGGGCGTCTGGGCGGCCTCGTGAGGGCCTCTGGGGGCCTCTTGGGGCACTCTTGGGGCCCCCTGGGGCTCCTGGGTGCAGAAAGCGCCGCGCCAGAAGCCGCCGCAGAAGGAGAAGGCCCTGGAGCCGGCCGCTGAGGAGGAGGAGGAGGGGGAGGAGGAAATGGAGCCTGTCAAGAAGTTCCTGGAGGACCCCGAGGCGTGCGCTGCGGCGAACCCGGTGGCTGCAGCGCCGGCGGCGGGCGGCGGCGGGCGGCGGCGAGAAGAAGGAGGAGAGGAAGGCCGCGGCCGTGGAGGAGGAGGACGAGGACGTGGTCTTCGACCTTTTCGGCTGAGCGCACCGCGGCGGCGGCGATGCTTCCCCGTTGCGCGCCGTTTTTGTACGATGCGTGGCCGGCCTTACGTCTTCGGGGGGTCGCCTAGGCCACCTGGGCAAAGTCCGCCTCGGACGCATTTTACCGTGGCCAAAGCCATCATGAGTTACCAGCGGGGGCGCAGCAGTGACATGGCGAATTGCCTTTCTAGGTGGGGACGGCGCTATCATGTCTTGCTTCACCATGGCTTTCAGAGTTTCAACATGTTTGGTCGCCCTCTTGGGCTCCTCTTGGTGCCGTCTTGGAGCTCTCTTGGGCCGTCTTGGGGACCTCTTGGGCCGTGTTGGGGCCGTCTTGGGCCGTCTGGAGGCCGTCTTGGGGGCCTCTTGGGCCATCTTGGGGCTGTCTTTGGGGCCTCTTTGGCCGTCTTGGAGCGTCGGGAAGCCGAAAAGGCGGAAAAGCAAAAAACATAGAAAAACACAATGGAAAATCAACAATTTTAGACTCTTGGGGCCCTCTTGGGAGGCTTGTTTGGGACCTCGGGGGCCGTCTTGGAGACCTCTTGGCCCGTCTTGGGGCCATCTTGGGCGTCTTGGAGCGGTCGTTTGGCGTCTCGGGGCCTTCGTGGGCCGTCTTGGAGGCCTCTTGGGGGCTTCTTGGCCCGTCTTGAGGCCCTCTTGGGCCCGGAAAAGCCCCGTGAACCGCTCGTCCCGGCCGTGCTGCGCTCGTCCCGGACCCCCCCCCCTCCAAATCGACCGGACCGGGCTCCCGGGGGAGGGGTTTGGGGAGGGGGAAGCATCTCACACGCCGATGATCCCCAAGGGGCTCGGGAAGCGAGTTTTGGAGCCACTTGGGGGCCGTTTCGGAGCCTCTGGGGTGCTTTTTGGGGGTTCCTTGGGGCGTCTGGGCGGCCTCGTGAGGGCCTCTGGGGGCCTCTTGGGGCACTCTTGGGGCCCCCTGGGGCTCCTGGGGGCAGAAAGCTAGAGTTTCAACATGTTTGGTCGCCCTCTTGGGCCCCTCTTGGTGCCGTCTTGGAGCCCTCTTGGGCCGTCTTGGGGACCTCTTGGGCCGTGTTGGGGCCGTCTTGGGCCGTCTGGAGGCCGTCTTGGGGGCCTCTTGGGCCATCTTGGGGCTGTCTTTGGGGCCTCTTTGGCCGTCTTGGAGCGTCGGGAAGCCGAAAAGGCGGAAAAGCAAAAATCATCGAAAACACAATGGAAAATCAACAATTTTAGACTCTTGGGGCCCTCTTGGGAGGCTTGTTTGGGACCTCGGGGGCCGTCTTGGAGACCTCTTGGCCCGTCTTGGGGCCATCTTGGGCGTCTTGGAGCGGTCGTTTGGCGTCTCGGGGCCTTCGTGGGCCGTCTTGGAGGCCTCTTGGGGGCTTCTTGGCCCGTCTTGAGGCCCTCTTGGGCCCGGAAAAGCCCCGTGAACCGCTCGTCCCGGACCCCCCCCCCCCCTCCAAATCGACCGGACCGGGCTCCCGGGGGAGGGGTTTGGGGAGGGGGAAGCATCTCACACGCCGATGATCCCCAAGGGGTCGGCGGATTTTGACAATTTACGTTGAACAACTATGTGTTTTGTTTTGATGTGTTTTCGGGGCACCCGATTTTGACATCTTTTTGAAACCTCATCTGTTTTGAAGGATATCGGCATGCGCGCGCGACGACGCGCGCGTGTGCACGTCGCCCCGTTTTTTTGCAAGGGAGTCTTGAACACCTATTAGTTTTGATAGGCGAGTGTGGGCGCATAGTATTATTTGCAGAGCTTGAGGGGGGAACACTTCCTGGTTTAGCTGGGATGATATGAGTTCAAATTTTGAATGTGCGATGGGGCAGAACCATTGTTTCATTGCAGTGCGAAAGCGGGGGCGGCTAAACCCAGGGGGGGCATATCCTAATGCTTTTTTGAAAAGAGAATTTTATGCAATCTAGGTGGCGTCGGGGCGGTGACGGCGACCACGGAGCCGCCAGACCGACACCCAAGCCCAGACTACGGGCGGCGACGAGGCGGCGACGAAGCGGCGACGGGGCGGCGACGGCGAGCACACAGCTGCCAGACTGATACCCAGGCCCCGACGACGGGCTGCGACGAGGCGGCGACGGGGCGGCGACGGCGATCACGGAGCTGCCAGACCGACACCAATGCCCAAGTCTCCAGAAAAGGATTAGGAACCCCTAAGTGCGAACACTGTTTGGGGCAGGAGTAAGAGAACCCGTAAGCACAAGCACTGTCCGGGGAGAAGCGCAGCAAGAGGCCCACAACGGGGGGGCGGACCCCCAGGCCGCTCTGTCCGGCGGGGCTCTGGCAGCCGTTTCGCCTGAGGCTGCATCGCAGTTTGTGCAGGAGTCGTGCTCCTCGCCCCAAGGGCGGCTCCATTTTTGGCCCGGAGGAGGAGGAGGAGGAGGAGGAGGAGGAGGAGGAGGAGGAGGAGGAGGAGGAAAAGGAGGAGCAGGGCGGCTCCGTTTTTGGCCCGCACGGCCACGGTCCCTGGCAGGACAGTACACCAAGGCGCACAAGGCCGTGCTCCCACCCGTGTCCCTAGCGCCAGCCTTCTATTCCTCGACCCGCCTCTTCGCTTTCGCTGCTGTTAGGGTGCTCTGCTGGGGCAGATTTCGTTGTGTTGGTTTTGGGCCTCCCAGGAGGCTCTCGCCGCCACCGCTGGATTCGCTTCGAGATCCTGGTCAGAACGCACCCCAACGGAGGTCGGGGGCCCAGGGGGAGTAGCGGTAGGGGTACTTTTTCGTCCCCTCAGGAGCGGCTCTGGCTGAGGGCCCGACCGAACTCCATGGAGGACGGTGGTCAGCAGCGCCTAAATCATCCCCATACCCGCTGGGCCATGTTATCTTATCCCAGAAGAACAGGCATGCATCCCCACCTAGGCAGGTGGCCAAGTAGGCCAGCGGGGCCAAGGCCACGCCAGTGGTGACAGGGATCGTCCGCCGCTTCGGGGTCGTGCCCCGGGATCTCGGGGAGCGGTGGATCTGGATGCATGCCGCACGCCCGAGCGGGCGAGAAGGCATGCACATCCGCCGCTCTCCCACTCCCCAGGGCACGACCCCGCGGCAGTGGACGTGCACATTACCTGGCAGCGCAGGTGGGGCCTCCGCGCTGGCCGCGGACCTGGCGGGGCTCGCGGGGCTGGCGGAGCTCTCGCTCGAGCTCGGCTCCAACCTGGTCGGCGACGCGGGCGCGGCGGCCCTGGCCGGGGCCCTCGGCCACCTGCTGGAGCTCCGCGTGCTGAGGCTGGAGCTGAGGGAGAACTGCCTGGGCGGGGCCGGGCCGCGCAGCCTGTGCGCCGCGGCGGGCGGCCTGCCTGGGCTGCAGAGCCTCCACCTGGGGCTCACCGGGAACAGCGTCGGGGATGACGACGTGGAGCACATGATGCGCAGCCTGGCCGGCGCGGGCCAGCTCCACACGCTGGCCCTGGAGCTGGGGAACAACCCCATCAGCACGGCCGGCCTGGCCGCCGCGGGCGCGGGTCTGGGTCGCATGGTCTTCTTGGAGCGTCTAGCCTTCAGGCATTCCTACAACCGGGTCAGCGCCGAGAGTCTGGGCAGCCTCGCGAAGGGGCTGCAGGGACTCGAGGGGCTGACTGCACTGGAGCTGGAACTAAACGACACCGAGCTGGACGACGCTGGCCTGGCCTTGGTCTCTGCGGCGCTCGGAGCGCTGCCGCGGCTGGAGAGGCTGTCGCTGGGCGCCTCTGGAGTCCCCGCTACAGGGCAGGCTGCTCGCGCGCTGTCGGCGGCGCTGGCCGCGCTCCCACGCCTGGGGGCGCTGTCGCTGTCGCTGGAGGGCTGCGCCCTGGGCCCGGCTGGCCTCGACGCGCTCGCCGACGGGCTGCCCGGGGCGCAGGGCCTCGGGTCGCTGGCGCTGGAGCTGTCCGGCGCCGCCGGTGGCTCTGCGGCGGCGCTCGCGCGCGCCGTCGCCGGCCTCGACGGGCTGGCCTCGCTGGCGCTGGGGCTGGACTCGCACGGGCTGAGCTCGGAGGCCGCGGCCTGGGGCCACGCCCTGGGCAGGCTGGCGCGCCTCCGGAGCCTGACGCTGGGCGCCGCCGGCTGCGGCCTCGGCGACGCGGGGCTGGCGGCCCTCGGCCGGGGCCTCGCCGGCGCCGTGTCGCTCTCGGCGCTGTGGGCGGACGCGAAGCGGAACGGCGTCGGCGACGCCGGCGTCGCCTCCCTGGCAGAGGGCCTCGCGTGCCTCCCCGAGCTCGGGGCGCTCGCGCTGGGCCTCGGCGGGAACCGCGTCGGCTGCCAGGGCGCCGCCGCGCTGGCGGGGGCGCTGCGGGCGCTGCCGCTGCTGCGGTCGCTGGAGCTGCTGCTCTGGGAGAACGCCCTTGGCGACGACGGCCTTGCCGCGCTGGGGGGGGCGCTCGCGGCGCGCGCGGGGCTCGAAAGCGTGTCGCTGGAGCTGGAGGACCAGTCGAAGAAGAAACAACTGCATGAAGATGAACTTTCGGAGCTCCGCGCGGATTTCTTGGATCTGCGCTGGGCCCTCCTGGCGGCGCCTCCGGCGCCGCAACTGTCGCGCGGAGTGCGCCAGGGAGGGGTCCAGCGCAGATCCAAGACATCCGCGCGGACCTCCGAAAGTCGATGTTTGTGCAGTGTTTCCTTCCTCCAGCCAGAGTGCAGCCGCGTCCAGCGCCGGCGTCGCCGCGCTGAGCAGGGGGCTTCGTCAGCTGGCGGCCATGGGCAGCCTCAGCCTCAAGCTGGGGTCCCCGTCGGTCACGGCCAGCGGCGTCGAGTCTCTGGCCGACGCGCTCGGGGGCCTGCGGGGGCTCTGCTCGCTGAGGCTGTCGCTTCAGCGGTGCAGGACGCGCGAGCGGGAGCATCCCAGAGTTCCTCGCGCGGTGTTGTCCTTAGGGTACCCTTGCGTCCCTGCCTCTGCGGCTCGTCCTTTGCGGTCTTCATCGGCCAGCCCTTCGCCCTTCTGGGTGGTGGCAGTCCTCCGCCCCAAAAGTGCCAACCGCGGCGTCCAAGGCCCTTGCGTCCTCACCGCCCGTCCTTACTGTAGACTTCGACTGTATCCCGGCCTCCTCGCGCCGCGAGAGGCCATCGAGACGGCGGGCCTCTGGCACCGCTCGGCTTCCTGGTGCCCTCAGCGGGCCCCGGGCCCGCCCCCCCCCCCCCAAAGAACGGCTCGGCATGCGGCACAAGCCGCCCCGGGGAGGGGGGGGGGCTCCAGGCCCGTGGCGGGCCGTGCTGCGAAGAGGCCACGGCGTCGGGACGCCTGCGCTGGGCCCCCCGCAGGCCCGGGGGACGCGCGGCCGCCGCCGCCGAGGGCGCCCCGCGCGGGGGGGCAGCAGTGTCGGGCGAGCGTCTCCCAGGGCCCGACACGTGAAAACCCTCGAGTTTCGGCACTTTTTTCTGGTGCTCGAAGTTCTTTCTGGTGATCAAGGCGCAAGTAGGTTGGAACATCATAACCCATGGCGAGGCAGTGGGCCCCATCTCGTACGCATCAAGCTGCTCACGATGCCCCTCCTGCCGCTGTGCTGCACGGCTCTTCTCTTCACCAGAATGGGTGTCGCGCCGTCTTCCGCGGCCTCCGGCGGGGCCTCTGGGGTGCCCTCCGGGGGGCCTCCAGAGGACCTCGGGGCCGTCCTCGTCGGGCGGCGCTCCAGTTGGGGCGACGCATGGGGGGGGGGTGAAGCAAAACCGCCGCTTCTGCACCTGTATGGGGGCCCTGAAGGGGCCCCCCCGGGGGCCCAAACGGGGCACGAGAGGTGCACGTCTCTTCACTTACCCCCTGTCTCGCCCCCCTGTGAAGCACGCTGGCCCTTGGTCTTCGGGCCGCGGCGCTCCGCTCTCGGGCGGCCGCTCGGGACGAGCTGGGCGCCCCCTAGTTGGAGCGCCCTCGGCGAGGCGCAGCCGCTGGCCGGCACCCCGAGGAGGGACGAGCCGCCGAGAGCCCACGGAAGCGCCCCGAAGCTCCGAGCACGTCTGCCCCCAGAGCGGGGCCGCGGACTCTGGCAGCCCGCCCCTCCCGCTGCCGGAAGGCACCCCGAGGCTGCAGAAGCCGCCGAGAGCCCCCTCAGCCACGCGCAGAGGGGGGAGGGGGGAGGGGGGAGGGCTTCTCAGAAGCACCCCTGCTTCTCAGAAGACGCGGGCCTTCTCTGCAGACGTGAGGCCGGCGCCTTCTGAGAAGCAGCTCCTTCTAAGAGGCCCTCCCCCCCCCTCCCAGACCCCCGACGTAATGATTTTTTCATTACGTCGACCCCCAGGGGTCCCGACCCTTTCCCCATGACCGGCTTTGCATCCTGAGTCGTTTTTTGACGCTCCCGAGGCCCGGTGAGGGCCCCCGGAGGCCGAAAATTAGGAAAAACCTCCCGTCATGATTTTTTCATTGCTCGAGGGGGTCTGGGCTCCCTCCATCCCCTTGTTCGCGCCGCGAGCCCCCCGAGGGCGCCCCGAGAGGCCCCGGGGCCTCGGAGCGCGCAGCCCCGGCGGGCGGGCGGGCGGGCTCGTGGCCGCCCGCAGGATCGGCTGCCGCGGCGCGGGGGCGCTGGCGGCGCGCCTGGGGGAGCTGCCCCGGCTGGCCGAGCTCGAGCTCGACGCCACCCAGGGCGGCGTCGGGGCGGCGGGGCGGGGCTCTCGCAGGAGGGGGAAAAACCCACGCTCAGACGCAACGAGTCGTCGATCCCCAGGGAAGTGTGGGGAATTGTGGGAAGTGGGGGGGAAGACGAAAATCCCCCAAATATGGGAGAATGTGGGGAATCCTGTTGTTTGTGTGTATTTATTTGTGTGTCCCAGGGCCCCTTCACTCTCAGGAGGGGGAAACGCACACACTCAGACGCAACGAATCGTCGATCCCCAGGGAAGTGTGGGGAATTATGGGGAGTGGGGGGGGGGAGGACGAGCATCCGGACGCTGTGTGAAAGCATGGGGGATCTTGGTATTTGTGTGCACTTCTTTGTGTGTCCCTGGGCCCCTTCAGGCTCCCTGGACGCCCTGGCCGATGGCCTGCGGGCACGCGGCGTGCTGGCCCGCTGCTGCCACGGCGGCTCGGGCAGCTCGTCGTCAGAGGGACCCCCGGCCCTGGGCGTCGCGACGAGCTCCTCAATCCAGAGGGCGGACAGGTCGCTACCAATACCGCTGCCCTCTGCCTCGCTTTCGCCCTTTCTGGGCCTCCTGGGAGGCCCTCGTCGCTGCCGCTGGATTCGCCTCGACACTCTGATCAGAACGCGCCCAGGGAGAGGTCCGGGGAGTAGCGGTATCAGTATCTTTGAGCTTCCCCATCGTTGTTTGCTCTGATGTCGCGGTGGTCTGCGCGACTGCGAGGGCCGCCCGAGGGTACCCCGTCGTGCTTGCCCGCTGCTGCCACGGCGGCTCGGGGAGCTCGGCGTCAGAGGGGCCCCTGGACCCAAGGCGTCGCGACGAGCCCAATGCCTGTTCTGATGTAGCGCTGGTTTGTGCGATGGATGCCATTCCTTTGTCCATTTGTTTGGCGTCGTTCCGCCATCGTCAGCTGTTCCTCGTGCATTTGTTTTCTGGTTCGCGGGTTCTGTGCTGCATCTCGGGTCTCGGACTCCTCGAAGATCGCCCTGGAAATGACAGAAGCCCGCGCGAAGGCGAGGTCGAGAGCTTTTGGTCGCTCGCGTCGTTTCCTAACAGCGGCTCTAGCTTCGGACAATAAAACATCTATAATCTTTCTCAGGGGGGTCCAAACGGCTGCTGTCGCGGTGCAGGATTGCGCTGTGAGCAAGATGCCTCTTGGGCGGCCAGGCCAATATGAGTCCAACAGCCTTAATTACACATTTTTTTGGTTTCCACATGTTTCGCGAACCTGTTTAAAGGCATAAACACAGCTTGTTTGTTTCAATAGTTGGTGTGCAACAATTTGTTCCGAATCCGCCCTCTTGGAATTGCCTCCCAGGAGCCTCTCAGGATCCTCCCAGGAGCATCAGAGGACCCAGGACCCTCCCAATAGCCTCTCAGGCTGACCCTCAGGACACTCCCAAGAGCCTCTCAGGACACTCTTAGCAGACTGAGGATCCTCTCAAAAGCTTCTCAGTAGCCTCACCAGAGCCTCTACAGAGCCTCTCAGGAGCTTCTCGGGATCCTCTCAGGACCCTTTCACTAGTCTCCCAGGACCCTCCCAGGAGCCTCTCAGGAACCTCTCAGGAGCCTCTCTGGAGCTTCCTTCTCAGGGGCCTCTCTGGAGCATACCAGCATCCTGTCGTTAGGGGGGCTTTGTTGGCATCCTGCTTTTTTCCGCGACGTCCAGAGTCAGGGTCCTCAGCAGCAGAAGAAGGTGATTGAGCAGACGCGCTGCCAGCCCCCGCGGTCTTCGCCCCATGCGTCGACTGGGGGATCGACTACAGAATTGATTTACCCCAATATTGATTTTTACGTTGACTCTTCAACAAAAATACGTCAACCATTCGTAGATCTGCGAACGTTCTACGAATTGCCCGTGGATTGGGCAAGAAAATCAATTCCAGGGCAACTCAATTCTGTAGTCGATCCCCTACTCGAATGTGGAAGAAAGCAAGTCTGTGGAGCCAGAGCCGGCTCGGGCGAGGCGCCCTGCGGTGGCAGCAGGCCTTGTTGACGTGCCTGCGACCCGCGGCGTGTCACTCCCGCGGCGTCTGCCGCGCCCCCGGGGGGCGTCCTGGGCAGGGGCGCCTCGGGCTTGCGCGGCCGCGGCCGCGGCCGCGGCCGCGCGCGCCGCGCTCCCACGTCTTGATGGGCCTGTTTCCCAACACCACCACCATAAGTCGCAGGGGAGAGGAGGAGAGGAGGAGGAGGAGAAGAGGAGGAGGAGGAGGAGGAGAGGAGGAGGAGGAGAGGAGGAGGAGGAGGAGGTGGAGGTGGAGGTGGAGGTGGAGGTGGAGGTGGAGGTGGGGGAGGAGGACCCCCTCCCCCTCCAACTTATGGTGGTGGTAGTGGAAAACAGGCCCATCAACGTCTGACGAGGGCAGGCTGTCGTAGGGAGCGTGGAGCGGCTCCACCAGAAGAGCTTCCCCGACCACTTCCGGGACGACGGCACGCGCAGCACATCACAGGGGCCACGGCCGCCTCCACCCGGTCTTGGCTGGTCCCGGACACCCGTCCGCAGTGGTCTCTGGACGACGGCTCGCTCTGCGCCCCGGCGGGCACGGAGGACCTGACGGAGGCTGCGGACATCCTGCAGGACCCTGAAGAGAAGACCGCCAGCGATCCGAGCGGCTGCGTCGAGAGGACCGCCAAGGCCATGGGCCTGGAGCCCGCCGAGGATGCCCCCCCCAGCTCTAGGCCTCCCTGGTGGGGTCCGAGCAGCCGGGGTCGGAGGATCGGGCCGCATCGCCGATGCCTCGGCGATGCGGTTCGAATTGGAGCCCGATCTTCTCTTCGCCGGCGGCGCCAGTGCATCGCCGACGCCGCCCATGCATCGCCGGTGCATCGCCGATGCATCGGCGGTGCACCGGCGATGCGGCGCGATCCTCCGACCCCGCGTTCTCGGACCCCACCCGGGAGGCCTAGAGTTGGGGGGGGGCATCCTCGGCGGGCTCCGGGATGCCCGCCGAGGATGGCCGCCGAGGATGCCCGCCGAGGATGCCCCCCGAGGCTGCCCCCGAGGATGCCCGGCGAGGACCCCCTCTGGGAGGCCCCCGAGGATGCCCGCCGAGGATGCCCCCAGCGCTGCCGGCACCGCGGGCCGCTCTCCGGGCGCGACGCCAGGGCGTGCCGCGCCGCGGCGTGCCGCGGCCCTCTCGGAGCGCGCGCGCGCGGGCGGCGCGCCTCGGCGCGGGCGGCGTGTGCCCCAAAGGCGGCTCCTCGGCGCGCAGCGGCGGAGACGTCTGCCCCCGCTGCTCCCGCTGCCGCCCCCCCCGCTGCTGCCTGCTGCTGCCTCGCCTTCCCGCTCCCCTCCTTCCCCTGCCCCCTCCCTCCCTCCCCCTCCCTCGGGGAGTCTCTCGCGAGTGGGCGAGAGGTCTGACCTGATGCCCCCCAGAGCTCCATTCGGTTCGAATCGGCCCCTCGGGGAGCAAGCAGTGGCATCAGCGTGAGCTTTCGGGGATCCGCGCGGCTGTCTCGCATCGACGTTGGAGCCCCTGTGCCAGCGCCTGCGCCGCTGGCGCGCGCGCGGGGGCTCCCGCGCCGACACGGGACACCCGCGCGGGCCTCCGAAGGTTTGATGTGCTCGTGCCACTGTTCGTTGCCCGACTCCCCCCTCTGCCCCCTCCTGTTTCGCCTCCCCCCCATCCTCCTCCTTTCACCTCCCCCCTTTTCCCCTCCTCTTTCACCTCCCCCCTTTTCCCCTCCTCTTTCCCCTC